GAGACTTCATATGGGTCATTCCTCTGATGTTCTCCATCTTTTGGGGGGGTGATGAGGGACAAGGTTTCTCACTGAATCAATAACTTCAGGAATCCACCTGTCCATCCATGCCCCCCCCCACTTCACCCCGTACTGTCACAGGCAGGCGTGTGCAACAGTGCAGGCTTTATACTCGGGTGCTGGGATACAAATGTGGGTCCTGATGCTTGTCAAATGGCACTTTACCTACTAAGCCATTCCTGAAGCTCTATTTCTGACTTTAATAATCCAATTCATCATCTTCTAGAAGCTGAGATAAAGGGTAACACAAACAGAGCTGACTTTGGAACAAATACGTCATATATTCCATTAGATTAGTATTAACTCCAAAATGACTAGATAGAGATCGCAAGCTTCCGGGCCCTTATGCACAATCACAAGATTTAAAACTTTCAGGCTAGAGCTAATAACCACAACTCCACTGACTAGGTGGAGTTGGTAACTATGTGTGGTAGGAATGGGAGATACCCTTTTTTCGTTGTTTTGTTCTGTTGAGACAGGGTTTCTCTGTAGCTTTGGAACCTGTCCTGGAACTGGCTCTGTAAACAAACCTAGCTGGCCTTAAACTCACAGTGATCCGCCTGCCTCTGCCTCCTGAGTGCTGCGATTAAAGGTGTGTGCCACCACTGCCCAGCAAGATACCCTTCTTTTTAAAGACATGTTCAACAACCTTATCCTCCACCTACTAGATGTCAACAGAAACCTTATCATGCCCTCCACGCAGGCATCATTATTCCAAACATCTCCACATTGCCAAACATCCACACGGTGAAGACAGTTTTCGGTCAGTCAATGTTGTGTTGGCTGAGCTGAGGGATATATTTTTATGTATGTATTATTTTTGCAGGATTGAGCTCAAAGCCTTGGGTGTGGTAGGCAAGCCCTCTACTGAGCCACAGTCCCATTCCCTACTCTGGGCTGTTTTGTTTTTGAGACAAGGTCTCCTTGCTCAGGCTGGTCTCCATGTAAGCCGGTTCTCCCACTTCAGCCTCTTACTGGACCTACAATGTCAGCCATCACATCTGGCTTTGCTGTGGTGTTTGGGGATTAGAGTGACATTAGAATTAGCATACTGGGTAAAAGATATGACCTTCATTTAACAGCTGAAGGCCTGGACAGAAAGGTAACAATCTCCTGCCCAAGATGCCCATCTTTTCCTAGCATTGGGCAAAAATCCAAACATCAGATCATTCTGGGTCTACTGGTTTTGGGACTCAAATTTATACCAATAGCTCTTCCGGTTATATCTTTTTTGGACTTAACAATAGAATTACATCATTTAGTTCCCTGATGCTTAGCCTACAGAATACAGCTCTTTATAAATGTCTTCATAAAGGCATGAATCAAGGTCACCTTTAGTATTTTTTTTTTTTTTTTTGAGATAGGCTCTTACTATGTAACCCCATATAACTGCCCTGGCACTCACTGCCCTGGCTGGTCTCGAACTCATGGTGTTGTTCTTGAAATTACCAGTGTGCATCACCACAGCAGCCTTAAGTCAATGTAACATCTACCTATCTCTTTCTCTTATCCTTTTCCTCTGGGGATCAGAATATACCCTAAGAATCACTGTGGTAGACTATGTTGCTGGGGGTCAGAGAATGGAGTACAAAGCAGAAAGTAAAAGCAAAACAAGAAGCCTCTGAGAAATGACTAGATATGACCTTTCTTTCCAGTTGGAACTTTGATTTATTTGGACAGCACTTTTCTCTTGCCACAGGCTATGGTTGGTAAGAATTAGATCCATTCATATCCTTTGCAGCATGCCTTAAAATGTAAGAGGGGCTGGAGATGGTTAGGAGCACCTCTATACCTCCCCCTGCTCTTCCAGAAGACCCAAATTTCAGTTTCCAGCACACACTTGTAATTCCATTTCCAAAGCACCTTCTGGCCTCCACTGGCAGTAGGAACCCATATGGTGCAAATACATACATGCAGGAAAAACACTCATAGACATTAAAAAAATTTTGTTACCCAACAAAGACTACTTACCTCAACAACGGTAACAACATTGGCAGAAATGTAAAGTAAGATCAGTTCCACAAGCTAGTATTTTGTTATTACTAGATTAAGTCACATATGTTTTCATAAAATAGATGAAAGCCAGTTTCCACTCCAGCTGGGAGACAAAACTCTATAGTGGTCCTAAAGCAGTTTATAGCACATTATACATATGTATAACCCTACAGGGTACTGTTCTACATATGCTATGTAAGCCTGATAATCTGAGGATTCTTTCATTAGGCCTTTTTTATTATGTAAATTCTTAGGATTGTTTAGGGCTTATTTTTAATTATGTGTATCTGTGTACACTGGAATGCAGGTACCTTGGAGATCAGAGATGTTGGATCCTCTAGTAGTTGTAAGCTGCCTGGTATGGGTGCTGAGTACAAATGTGTGTCCTCTAAAAGAGCAGCCAGTGCTCTTAACCACTGAGTCATCGTCTCTCCAGACTCTTCTACTTTTTAAGAAATAAGCTCAGTCTGGCCTTGAATTCATAACCTTACTGCTTTAGTCTCCTGAACACCTCTGGTGTGCAGCGCCAGGCCAGGTTTGAGTTTCTGTTAAGGTAGTTTTAAGTTTCTATTCTGATCTACTCTGGTGAGGTGACTGTGATTTGCACACAGCAGAGGAGCTGATGGTAGCTGTGCTGAAGCGGCATCTAAGGAATCAAGTGATCACACACACACAGTGATCACACACACACACAGTGATCACACACAGTGATCACACACACATACAGAGTGATCACACACACACAGTGCACACACACACACACAGTGATCACACACACACACAGTGATCACACAATCACAGTGATCACACACACACACACACACACAGTGATCACACATAGTGATCACACACACAGTGATCACGAACACACACTGATCACACACACACACACACTGATCACACACACACACACACACACAGTGATCACACACACACACACACAGTGATCACACACACACACACACAGTGATCACACACACACACAGAGTGATCACACACACACACAGTGATCAGGCACACACACTGATCACTCACACACACACTGAAGCACAATGGATTCTCCCAATCTAGGATGAGAGTTAGTTGGGATACTTGCATTTAAGACACCCAGATTTAGCACAGTGTGACATACCAGATTAAAAAGAAAGACCAATTACACAAATGTGGTTCAGCATAGAAGCATTTACAGGGTTCACTCCTAGGAATTTAACAATTTCTTATAATGAAATGTCACAGACATATTTAGTTTAAGCACACAAAAACGCACAAGTTACATTGTAAAAGTTGTCCACATGACCTACTTTTAGCACAGTTACCACAAAAATACCTATCAAGTATTGGTCAGGAATCCGAGTTTCAATATGAAGAACCTGCCTGACAAACAGGCTTCAGAAACTGTCCGCTCTTTCATTGTTCTCCCCTCGTGACTGCCAGTGTTTCCTTTGGTGTTCCATGAACATTTCTTCAGCTTTACCTCAGAAGGACACTGATAAGTTCCTGCGATTGTCCTCTTTCCACTTCTTTTCTCCACCTACTATGTAGATTATCTTCATCCAAGAAACGGTGAGACTTTTGTTTTTCCATTTTCCTTGTTTCTTTTCTTATATGAAAATAATTTTGGGGGAAATTTCATTAATGCTGAAATCGGTCTATTTCATTTCCAATAATACTAAATCCCCCTTTCCTTGCCAGAGGGTAGAAATAATACAGTAGAGTAAGAATTCAAATAACACTGCTATTTCCAGAGTATTTTTGTAAAAACTAGTTTTCTCAGTTAGTTGTCTATTAAGTAATGCATGACTGCTTCAAACATGTTCTAGAATCTACAGGATGGAACACTGAAGAGGGCTAGCTATGGAAGTTTCCTCCTAGGTTGGTTTTCTTGAGTACACTAACACAATTTTAGTAGGCAGCCTCCCAGCACCCCTGTAGGGGCTGCTGTCACCCACCTTCCCTGGGAGGTCAGTGGGAGAAGTAACCATCTCAAGGTTATCTATTAAACCACAACATTGGCTTTAAGGCAGATTGCATTTCCTGGCCTCTCCTAAGAACAAATGCTGAGACAGCCTCTACTTTTCTCCAGAACACACCACTAAGTAGGATCCGGAAAGAAGGGAAGATTTAAAGCTGACCCAAGCAGAGAAGATTTATTTAGTGTCTGCCTGATACAGGGGTGGTTGGTAAAACTGGGCCTTTTTCCCACCATGCCTTCAAAATGTTACCCAGCAGACTACCTCCCTCAACACAAGAGGGCGACATTGGGCAACAAAGTACATCTGGCAACTCCTGGTTCAACTTGGCAACCATTACACAAACCACACTGCTTAAGACAGAGACAAAGCTCCATTTTGCAGATGTGGCAAAAAGTAAAGTTTTTTTTTTTCTGGAAAAACTTAAAATATGAAGACTCTTTGTGTTTCTAATGAAGAATCATGTCCTTAAAAACTAAAACCAAAACTATCCAGGCTGTGGACATGATAGTGCATGTCTGCCATCCCAGCACTTAGGAGGGTGATGAGGGACTGTTCAAGTTCCAGGCCAGCATGGGCCATATAGTGATACCTCACCCCCCCCCCCAAAAAAAAAAAACAGGCTGGAGAGATGACTCAGTGCTTAAGGGCACTTGCTGCTCTACAGGAGGACCTGGGTTCAGTTCCCACACCCACGAGTTCCAGAGATCTGGTGCCCTTTCCTGGCTTCCACGGGCACTGCTTGCATGCTGTGCACAGAAACACAAAACACCCAAACGCAAAACATGACATAAAGATAAATAAATCTTTAAAAACAAAAAACAAAACAAACAAACAAACAAAAAAACCAGGCTGGACATTGGTGGCGCACACCTTTAATCCCAGCACTCTGGAGGCAGGCGGATCTCTGTGAGTTCGAGGCCAGCCAGGATAGGCTCCAAAGCTACACAGAGAAACCCTGTCTCGCGAAAAAAAAAAAAAAAAAAAAAAAAAAAGTAACAGCAGGTCCCATAAGGCTTATGACATGCCTCTGTAAAGCTTTGGGAAACTTTTTCCATTAAATGAAACTATTATTTCTCCACTTCCAAAAACAATGTTATTACAGACTGAGAAAAATTAATTTTTTTTCTTCTCGAGTCTGGATCTTGCCATGTAGCTCCAGGATAGTCCTGAATTTATAATCCTGCCTCAGTCTACCGACAGCTGGAGTTACAGATGGGCAAGCCCCGACATTTTGTCTTTTTGGTTTGGTATTGAAAGGAGCTTTATAAATAAGAGGAATCAAGTGAAGTTCTTAGCACTAAAGAATTTTAATAACGACAGGAACCGGGTGAACTAATGTTTTCTTACAGCTCAAAAGTTTCACTTATTCTGTATGGAGGGGTAATGCATGTGTATGGGTGTGGGCACCCATGTGGGCATGTGTTGAGATCAGAGTCTGATTGATAACACATGTCTTCCCCAGTCACTTTTCTACCTCAATTTTTAAGACAAAACTCTCACTGAACCTGAGGGGTTGACTAGAGAACACCTGCTATCTTCCTGTCTCTGCTCCCCTACCAGCACCAGGCGCCATACCTCCCACCTCAGGTTCAAGTTTGTGAGCTGCAATCACTTTACTCACTGAGCCATACCAGACTCTAGGTATGGTCCCGTTTTATTTACGAATATATGTTCACTAACGCTTATACATATAGTTCCACTTTAAACAGACAGTGTCTAGCATCGCCATTAGCTGTAGACAAGTCTTTCGGCACCTCTCCAGATTGTCTCGGGCTGCTGGACCCACTCACCTACACTGAAAGCAAATCTCTATTCTCACCCTTTAGCTATATATGGGCTCCTTGTGTGTAAGCAGGAAAGATTACAGAAAAGTTGAAAAGTTTTAAATGAGAATTGTTAGGTTCTTTCATACCTGAGAAGGCTAGGAGGCTAGGGAGAGCTGGGCATGGGGAGGGGGGCACACCTATAATGCCAGTGCTTGGATGTGGAGCAGGCAGATCGGAAGTTTAACGCCATCCTCAGCTATGTAGTGTGTTTGGGGCCAGCCTGGGCTAAACATGACTCTGTATCTCAAAAATACAAAAAAGTTACTTTTAACTTTTTATATAATTGTGACCCCCCCCAGCAGCATACTTGTTTAAACAACCCCCATACAATCAATCGATCCTACCACTAGCTAGAGTTTGCTCTGAACACATGGGTCTTGACCCCAGAGTCTAATTCTTAAATCAGAAATTCAACTGCCTTGAGACAGTACCCAATGGGGTTCTTCACCTGGCCTTCAAAAGTTACCACTCTGAAGCCTGACTGGTGGTACAGCCCATAATCCCAGCACTCAAGAAGCAGGGGAGGAAGATGGTCTCAAAAAATCTAAAAACAATGCAACTGCTACTTTGGCTTAGTGTGTTGTATGCCTGTGTGGTTTTTGTTTGTTTGAGACATGGTCTCACTATGTAGCTCTAACTGGCCTAGAACTCACACTATAAACCAGGCTGGCCTTGAACTCACAAGAGATCAGCCTCATGAGTTCTGAGACTAGAGGCAGGCAACATTGTCTCTGAAACTACTACTTTGTTATTCACCTGAACTCACAGTTTACCCAGAAAACTTGTTTCAGAATTAGCTGGCTTACTCTAGGCTCCCCACAGACAGAGGTGGTAGGACCTCTAAGAAATGTCTTCAGAGGTGTTCTACTGGGGCTGGGGACAGCTCAGACTTTGCATGTGCCTAAATTCTAAGCATTACATTTATTAGATGTATACAAATATCTGTGAGTTAGCACGTGGCCACAGTTCTGGCTACTCGGGAAGCTGAAGCAGAAAACTGCTTATGCCCAAGAGTTTAAAACCAACCTGGGTAACAAAGCAGGACTCTTGTTTCCAAACTAGGGGGTGGGGATGGGGTGTCAGGACCATCTTAGATGCTTTTTAAATACCTGTGAAGCTTTAGACTTCAATAGGATAGGGGAAGGAGATGGGGCTGTTCTGCAGTCTTTCTTGCCTTCTTATCCTTGAGTACAGAGCTTCACATTTAAACACTTCAAAAACAATGAAATTTGGTGGGCTATTTTTTAGGTACAGAAAATCATTCATTTAGTCCATCAACTTCAATTTTCCTGGGGTTTTAGATTTCTAAGCATCACCACTACAAAAGGGAAGTTAAGTATATCCACAAAAGGAGAGCTGCCAGAGTGGGTTTTAAATAGGTCTGGAACACTGAGTGTATCTACTTCATTGGTTTTACCAACAGAAGAAGTGAAAGCCATGCTACTACAAAATTACCTTAAACAGTGATTTTTAGAAAACTACCATCAACCCAGACAGCCTAGAAAATTCTGCCATATTAAGGTAGAAAGATGATTTGTTTTTTGTTTTGTTTTGTTTTGTTTTTTGTTTTTCAAGACAGGGTTTCTCTGTATAGCTTTGGAGCTTATCCTGGCACTCACTTTGGAGACCAGGCTGGACTCGAATTCACAGAGATCCACCTGCCTCTGCCTCCTGAGTGCTGGGATTAAAGGCGTGTGCCACCAACGCCTGGCGAGAGATGATTTGTATCTTATTATTTTTCTCTCTAAACTTGGGTAAACCTTTTGCTATAAAAATCTGTCCCTTGGTGTCTAAGGACACACTAGATGTGGTTGCCTGGCCCAGAGTTACTTTACAGACCTGCCTCTGTGCTTAGTTATGTGAATGAACTGGCTTCTCTGTTCAAGACTTCTCTATCACTGGCTTCTCCAGTCCTTTTTTCTAGCTGGAAAATTTTATTAAAAACGAGGTATACTTGATGTTAAGTAAATAAGAGGCCATGTTGAGAGACTGGGGTGAAGCTGGGCGGTGGTGCCACACACCTTTAATCTCAGCACTCAGGAGGCAAAGGCAAGCAGATCTTTGTGAGTTCGAGGCCAGCCTGGTCTACAAAACTACACAGAAAAACCTGTCTCGAAAAACAAAACAAAACAAAACAAAAAAAAAAAGAGAGAGAGAAACTGGGGTGCTAGGAAGTAGACAGTTAAAACTACTCATGATTTGGTATAGCCATGTCTTAAAACAAACTTTTTATACATTATAATCTATAGTTATACATTAAAAATAACTACTGATTTCTTATATGGCAGAAAATATTTAAAAATCACTTTCATGAGGACATAATTCACATGAAACATAAGACAATAGGGACAGTTTAGAAGTGTATGTGTGCGCTGGAGACTGACCCTAGGACCTCACACATGCTAGGCAAGCCCCTGACAAGTGAGCTTCATTCCTAGTCTCTAAAATATTCTTTAAAGTAGATCTCATCTGTTTCATATTCTACTGATTCTGCAACCTGGAATAACAAAGATTTTATAAATAATCAGTCACTCTAAAGTTTCTACATTAACTTCTGTTTTTCAAATTATGATTTAATTTATAAAAAAAGCTCATAGGATAATTTGAAAGTTACATTTAATAGCCATGTCTTATAATAAGAACTGGTATGCACAACCTCAAAACGAGGGACAAATTATTTTAAGTCAACAGACCATGAGGAAGTAAATAATTTATGAATTAAAAAATGGTGCATGAATCTTTTCCAAGACTGGTATAAAAATTCTAAAGGAGAAGCTACTACTCGACAAGGATGGTGTCCACACTTCCTTGTGTGAGCTCTGACTCTAAGGCACAAGGCAAGTCTAAATGTTCTTGTGACAAGCGAGAACTTTTCAGGGGGACATCGGACCAGCTGTCACAATACTGCTGAAACCTCTGGGCCAATGAATTTCCAAACCTTTGGCATCTGTTGTATCTGTAAGATTTACCTTTATGTGTATACATGTGTTCCAGTAACTGGCTCTTTCGAAGAAATTTATGGCCACAGATGGTACAACTGATTTTTCTTTTTCTTGAAAAAGAAAAATTACAGTTTAATTCTACTGGCTCTGTGTCTTTGGAGATCAAAGACACTTGACTGATCTGTAAAGGCTCTGCAGGACCTCGGCTAGAGTGCTCAGGCGGCGCTGGCTGCTGCTCATTCTCCTTGACAATGAAGGAGCTAAGCCTCCTGCATTCAAGAGCCTCACTGCTGTCACCAAGTGGATGAACTTCACCAAGGTCATTACTTTCCAAAATGGACGCAGGAACACCAAACGGGAGAGATCCAGACACATGGGTATGCAGGTGCTGTCTCAGGTTACTGCGGGACTCGAAACGCTCCCCGCAGTAATGGCATAAGTGGACTTTGATACTGTTCTCTGTAAAAGAGGGACCAGTCACTTCGGAAGAGGATGAGGAGTGGCCTTGGGAGATCACAGTCTCTGGATCACATCGCTCCTGTTTGATGGACACTGGGGGCTTCTGGTGCTCCTCCACAGCCTGGGCAGCAGGATGGGCCCTCTGCTGTTCAGCACTTCCATCATCTAGCCCAATTGCAAGAGAGAGCTGCAACTGGGGGTGGTCACCCTGGACAGCAGCTCGGTTTCCACTGTTACTGGGAGGAGTTTCTTTGAACTCCAGCCCTTGTTTGACAGCTGCTTTCTGGGTTGTTGAAATCTGAATACCATAGAGATTTGAGGTCTGCACAGTCTCTGGTGAGAACACTTGATTCATTTCAGTTGCAATGTGGGAAAGGTAGTCAGCATGGAGAAATCGGATCCCTTCCTCCAAACGACTATGATCCACAATCTGTTTTGGCCCTTTTCCTGTGTACATAATATGCAACAAGTAGCTGAATATATCGGGCTGGATGTCAGTTGGCTGTATTTTTATGCATTCACTGTTAAAACAAAAACAAACCCACACAAAATGAAACACACCTGTTTGGCCTTTTGGTTTCTAGCAATCTTAGGTTAAAACAAATTCTTCCTAAGAGGTTTAAATCTGGCAATCTGCCTTGATGAAATACAATAGCAAAAAATCTGATTGTAACTGCTTTTATGGTCCATCCACAAACCCAATCTACTGCCTAGCGCCAGGAAAAAGATATTCAGATAGTTCGACACTAAGTGACTCCTAAGCGGTGTCATCTATTCTAAGTGACAGAGGACGGAAAAACTGGAGACTTTAATAGGTGCTCTGCTTTTATATAAAACACATAACAAAAGGAACTAAACACAGAAACTCAAAAGGATACCTACTTGCTGGTGTTTGGTGCAGCATTGTTTACAGTAGCTAAAAGCTGAAAACAACTAAATACCCATCCAAAGATGAATAGCGCCGAGTGTAGTGGTGCAACCTTTAATCCCAGCACCTGGGAGGCAGAGGCAGAGGCAGGTGACTCTCTTTCAATTTGAGGCTGGCCTGATTTAAGCAGAGAATTCCAGAACAGCCAAGGCTACTAGACAGACCTTGTCTCAAAAAAGAAGAAAGAATGGATAAACAAAATGATGCTGTAAATACAAGGGTATGTTATTCTGCCATTAAAAAAAATGAGGTTCTGGTGTGTGTTATAACAAGGTTGAACTCTTGAAAACATGGTAAATAAAAAAGCCAGACAAAAAAGTCTAAAACTTGTATGGTACCACGTCCATAAAATAGTTAAAACAAAGCTGGGCATGGTGGCACATGCCTTCAATCCCAGCGCTCACCTACAGCAAGGGATACATAAAGAAGCCCTGCCTAAAAAACAAAACAAAACAAAACAAAACAAGAGAAATATCTAAAACAAACACATTTAAAGAGACAGAACTGGGCTGGAGAAATGGCTCAGTGGTTAAACAACAAAACAAAAAACAAAACAAAACACCACTTGTTGTTCTTCCAGAAGACCTTGTTTTATCCCCAGTACCCACATGTGGCTCACGATTGTCTATAACTCCAGTTCCAGGGAACCCAATGCCCTCTTGTGGCTTAGTGGGCATTGGGCATGCAAGTGGAACACAGACAGACATACATGCAGGCCAAACATCCATATACAAGGGACAGGGACAGAGACATATGGGGTGGGGGAAAACCTACAGTTAGATAAGGGGTAGTTATAGGTGGCTGAAGGAGAATAGAAAATTACTGCCTAAGAGGTACAATGTTTCTGTTTAGGATGATGAAAGGGTTTTGGAAACATAGTGATAGTTGCAGGTATAACACTGTGAATATAATTATTGCCATTAAGTTGGGTGATTTACAATTGTTAGTTATAATGAGTCCCTAACTCAGAATGTTAAGCCAGGGTGCTGGAGAGATAGCTCAGTGGTAAGCACATTGACTGCTCTGGCAGAGGAGCTTCCTTCAGTTTCCGGCACCCATACACGCAGCTGACAACATGCAGGCAAAATAATCATACACATAAACAATGACAATAAAAAAAGACAAACAACCAAAACCAAACCAAGCCAAAATATTCACATTTTAAAAGAAATCTAATGAAATTATTGACATTCAAAATTCAGTTTATTTGGCTTCTAAATCCTTAAATCACAGGTATAATTTTGAAAAGCATTATAGTAATTTCAAACTCAATTTGGTTACTAGATAGAGTACCAAAGTGAAGGTCTGTAAAATGAGAGTAGAAATAGGCAAAGGAAAAGGATGTGTGTGAAGAAACAGTCAACAGTATCGATGGACTCAGTTTCCCTGGCAGACGTTTATTCTGAGTCAGAATGCACTGGAATTCAGCATAATGCAATCCACTTTCTCTAGTCTGGGTATCTCAGGATCCCTACTTCCTCTCTTTGGTTTTTCGCTTTGCTCTGTGCTGTCTATTCACTGCCATGTTGTGTGACAAGCATTTTTTGGGGTGTTAAGTTCAGAATTCTGCTACCTGGAGTTTAGCAGGGCTGGCCTCACCTTTCACAAAGCATATGTTTGGACAGCATGAGAAGCACACAGTTTCTAAACTCACAAGACACAGGTCAGAGGCTCAGGGGGAGATAGCATTTGTTATGTGGTGAATGTAATCTACAGTGTCACATAAGAGACAAACTCCTGGGTTGGTGAGGTGGCTCAAAGGTTAAGAGCACTGGCTGCTCTTCCAGAGGTCCTGAGTTCAATTCCCAGCAACTATCTCACAACTATCTCGTAATGAGATCTGGTGCCCTCTTCTGGCTGCAGGCATATGTGGAGGCAGAATGTTGTATACATAATAAATAAATAAAATCTTAAAAAAAAAGAGAGAGAGAGAGAGAAACTCCTCTAGCAGAAAAGACTTGCATTACCTGGCTAGCATTCCCACCCCATCTTTGTACCATGACACATTCTAGCCCCTCATCTACTTTGCTGTCTGGGTGACCGTATATCTGCTTCATACCAGTAAATGAGTTTATATCACTTTTGTTTCATTTTGGTTTTTTTGAGACAGTGTCTTACTATGTAGCCCAGACCTGACACTTGCAACATAGTTCAGTCTAGTCTCAAACTCAAAGTGATCCTCCTGTCTCTGTATCTAAGGTGCTGGGATTACAAGCATTAGCTACCTAACCTTGATCCATGCCATTTCCACTCCTTATTTCTCTGCAATACCTGAAGGACTTTGGTTTTTCACATTTGTCAAGTCTGTTCCAAATGTCTCAAAGCAGGCCTGCTAGAACTCTTTACTTTGAATACATTCTGACATTAGATATCACATTAATAACAGCAAAGCTCTATTCCTAAGCATCTCCCCCACCCCCAGACAGGGTTTCTCTCTGTAGCCCTGCTGTCCTGGAGCTCGTTCTATAGACCAGGATGGCCTCAAACTGGGAGATCTGCCTGCCTCTGCCTCCCCAGTGCTGGGATTAAAGGCGTGAACCACCACTCCAGGCTGTTCTAAGCATTTAACTTTACTAATCCACTTAATCTTTCAATACCCAAAAGGAAAGTATATTATTCTGGCATTTAACAGACAAGAAAGCTGATTGTTAGGGTGTAAACATGAACTGTCCTCTAAAGGCTCATGTGCCACAAAATTGGTGGCCAGCTTATGGGCTTTGAGAAAGTGACAGAGTCATGAGGACTCTATAAATTGAGTCACAGTGTGATGGCATTACTGGCAGGTGGTAGAAACTAGGAGATGGGGCCAAGGTGGAAGAAGAGGCACTAAGAACATACCTATTTCCCTTGTCCCTGATCTGTCTGTACTGCTCCTGCTTTCTTCCGGCCTACCATGAAGTAGGCAGCTTTTCTGTCATGCCCTGTGCCTTCCTAGTCTTAAAAGGAACACAGCTAACCACAGGGGACTAAAACCTGAGAATGCAGCCAAAACAAATCCTTGTTTTCTTAAGCATTTTGTCACAACGGTGAAAAGTGACTAACACTAGTGAGGTCAATTAGTTGCTTTACATTTAATTCTCTATCAAACTTTAGATCTCTTGAAGACAGAAAAGTTACTATGGTCTAGCTAAATCTCTTAACATTCACACTTAGGAAATATTTAAATGACTGAACAATTAAAAAATTGTGAGTTCAAGGTCAGCCTGGACAACTTAGTAAGACCCTATCTAAAAATTTATAAATAAACAAATACATAAATAAATAAGGAAATGTTCAACTCTGGGAACTCCTGTCCTGGGGTCTGCAGGCACATTGACTTGGCCCGGAGGAGGACCAAGCCACCTTGAGTCTGCTGAGATCGCTGGGCTACTCCCGACCCCACTCAGGGCAGAGAGGAGAGCTTTGGCCCCTGCCTTGGGCCCAACTTCTGCCTGGCCATTCTGGGAACTCCTGTCCTGGGGTCTGCAGGAAATGTTCTAGAACGAACTAAAGCTAGACTAAAATTAATCTTTTCCCAGAGCTAAGAATTTGAATTGCCATGTTACCTAAATTCTAAAATAATGCAAAAGAATTAAAAACAACAAAACAGTAGCATGTGAAAGCAAACAGTCTTCGACTGGTGATACGGGATGTCACACTGAAATGTTGCTACACTAGAAATCAATAGCCTGGCACTTACAAACAGATGCTTAGCTTCAGGCAGAGCTACATCAGAGCCCAACTGATCAGCTGTTTACTCCTGGACAGGCCATTCAACAGTACAGGCTCAGTTGCCTTTTCTCTAAGACTTGGACAACAGTAGAGTTTACATTATAGGATTGATGTTTGGGTACTGGTTAAGCCTTTTTTGCTGGTGATATTTTTTCAAAATAGGATCTCACTAGGTGGCCTTTGCTGGACTGGAACTCACTACATAGACAAGTTAGCCTCAAACTCAGAGATCCACTTGCCTCTCTCTCCCAAGCAGTAAGATTAAAAATATGTACCACACCTGCTGGGCTAAGCCTTAATCAATTTTAGTTATACAAAAGTTATTATAATTAAAAATTTGTATTAGGGTAACCCCATAACAATCCCTTAAATGAGATTATAGTAAGACATATGTATCACCATATTAGAAATTATTCCCATTTACAAGAGCACATTCTTACCTTGTTTGGTGAATAAATATCATCTTGAAATAGTTGGAAAAAGCAGCAAGTACTGCTCTGTGGGCTTTGAAGTAAACATCTCCAATAGCAACTGTGCAATCACACAGAAAACCAAATTCTCGTTGCATGTTCAGCTGCTGCAGAAGGACAAGGCTATGGCTAGCAGTATCCATTGTGGCTCTGAGAAAAAAACAACATAAATATGTATTAGAAGTACAGATGTGTTTATACACAAATATGTATATATATACACATACATATATAAAGAAGTGTATTTAATCAAATCTAGGGCCTTGCACATGCTAGGCAAGCCCCACCCTACTTTCCTCATGGCTTTGGGATCTCAGGACCTCATCTACACCAGGTAAACACTTTACTAATGAGTTCTTCCCCCATCTTGTGATCATCTTTTTCTTTTGGTTTTTCGAGACAGGGTGTCCTGTGTAACAGCCCTGGCTGTCCTGGAATTCACAGAGACCTGATTGCCTACCTCTGCCTTTCAAGTGCTGCTGGGATTAAAGGTGTGCGCCACCACTGCCCAGCTTGATCATGTTCCTTTTCTTTCTTTTCTTTTTTATTTTTATTTTTTTTGGGGGGGGGGTTCGAGACAGGGTTTCTCTGTGGCTTTGGAGGCTGTCCTGGAACTAGCTCTTGTAGACCAGGCTGGTCTTGAACTCACAGAGATCTGCCTGCCTCTGCCTCTGCCTGAGTCCTGGGGTTAAAGGCGTGCGCCACCAACACCCGGCATGATCATGTTTCTAATGATGTTTCTTCACTGGAGAGATGAAAATGAGATACTGATGTGTGGCTCAGAATTAGAGGAGATAACAAGTGGAAATTGAGTTGTAATAGAAACTGCTATTCGAATGTTAGTTGTAAGTGGGAGTAACAGGGCATCCTCCCTGGTTGTGAGCCTAAGCTATCTCTCTAGCCTGATGGGCATCCTCCCTGGACTAGAACTCTTTTCTTTGCAGATCCTTTGGCACTCAGGAGACACTGTCATAAATGTCTGTGGGACTTACCCATACCCCAGTTTACATGGGGCCTGGGAGCGCATGAGAAAGAACCTCAGCCTGGCCTCATCTCAGCTAGACTTGGACACACACACACATGCAGATTCTCCATGGTAAGAAAAATGGAGATATGATAAATGAGCCTCAAGGGAAAACTCCTGAATGAGGATATGCAAGCCAGTTCTGGCCAAGACAGACTATGTGACTGTGAGCAAGGACACAGCAAAGTTAGTTTCAGACAGGTGGGAGGCTATATTTCACCACCATCTCCGCCTTAGCTATGCCAACAGCCCTGGAGCTGTAAGAAGGCAGCTGCAGTTCAATGGGTGTCACTGGGGGCTGGGAGAACATCCTTTGGAAGAGCCAGTTCTGAAAATGAGAATGAGGCTCCTTCCATAGCCAGACAGTCCGAGGCCTACAGAGGTCGGTGGCAGAGGGCAGGATTATCTATCAGCAGACTGGCAGCAGCATGAACAGCAGACAGGTGAGGAATCAATAACACTAAGAATGGAAAAACAGCTAATACTTTACAGCACTTTCCGTGTGTTAGGCACTTTAACCCATTCAATTCTTAATAGAACTTCACAAGCAAAGGAATCCTAAATTCCCTTTACAGATTAAGGACTGAATGAGCAAGCACCCACAAGCACACTGCCAGCAAGAGGAACAAGCAGGGGATTCAAACCCAAGCTCAGAAGCCCAAATCTGCGCTCCTCATATTCATTCCTTAAAAGGGACCATGACTCACAAACTAGAAGAGCACAGAGAAAAACTGCAGATAAAAACCTCCATGGGAAGCTCCACAAATATTTCCAAAGAGGAATTAGGGAGAAACTTGGATTTCCTGCTGGTTAAGCAGATGGTATACAACAGAAGCAAATAAAGTCCAAAATATAGCATAATGGCAATAATACTATTGCTGACAAAAGAACCGCTTTTATTAAAAACTATATAGTATAGTGATACAATATAACCTATAGGGCTGGAGAGACGGTTCAGAGGTTAAGAGCACTGACTGTTCTTCCAGAGGTCCTGAGTTCAATTCCCAGCAACAACATGGTGGCTCACAACCATCTGTTAGGAGATCTGGTGCCCTCTTCTGGTGTGCAGATATACATGGAAGCAGAATGTTGTATACATAATAAATACAATCTTTAAAAAATAAGCCAGGCGTTGGTGGCACATTCCTTAAATCCCAGCACTCAGGAGGCAGAGGCAGGTGGATCTCTGTGAGTGCGAGGCCAAGCCTGGTCTCCAAAGTGAGTGCCAGGATAGGCTCCAAAGCTACACAGAGGAAACCCTGTCTTGAAAAACCACCACCACCAACAAATAAATAAATAAATAAATAAATAAATAAATAAATATATATATATAATCTCTGAGATATATTTATTAGAAAAGACATGGGTATAAAACTACATAAAGAAAACTACATAAAGTAGTAAAATAATGATTCAGTAAAACGAACCGAATCATTATTTTACTTTTAAAAATGGGAGAAAGTTTTACATAAATATAATTCCTGTTCATGTATACATCACTGGAAAGGTTCAGCCAAATCAATAGGCTTTTCACTCCTGAACAGTTCTGGGGAAAGAACTACAGAATAGGGGTGACAGGCTAGCAGGCGACTATACTAGCTTAACTTAAAACTATAAACATTTTGGGTAGGCAAGTAGTACAAAGAACAACAAGAACAAAACAAACAGGAAATAATCACACACACACGGCAGAAACCCTTGGCATGTCCCTCATTTCTCCCCCTACCTACCTTGCCTCCAAAGATAAGCACCATCCTGAATTGAGTGCTTTTGATTCTCTTTGCATCATCACATTCTCCCTGTGCAGGACTATATCCCTGACCCAAGGACAGTATTGATTACAAGTGTTACTTTCCACAAATAATTACATGTCAGGAACCTCACAACTAGAGTCTTTTAACTCTATATTCATACGTTACTTTAAAAAGAGGTTATTATTTATTTCTAATTATGTGTCTATGTGTCTGTGTGCGGATATTGGACATAAGTGCAGGTGCTCTTGGAGGTGTTGGATCCTCTGGGAGCTGTGTTACAGGTGACTGGGAGTCACTCATGTGGGTGCTAAGACTCGAACTTGGGTCCTCTGCAAGAGCAGTACAAGCAATCTCTCACTGTATCTCTTAGAATTATTTTATGTGTTTGTGAGCTTTGCCTGCATGTATACCTGTGCATCACTTCTTCTGCCAAAAAGGCCAGAAGAAAGCGCTGCATTCTCTGGATCTGGAGTTACAGTTGGTTTTAAGCTATCCTGTGGATACTGGGGGGATTTCAGATCCCAGCACTGACACAACAAGCCAGACGTCCTGCAAAATGCCTTAACAACAGCTTCTGGCCTCCACACCTAAAGATGCCATGTACTCACTGTGTGCACACATATACAAATACTAAACAAACTATAAGAAAAATTTTAACATGCATTTAGTGTGTGTGATTTGGGTATACGCATGCCATAGTACACATGTGGAACTAAGACGACAGCTTGCAGAGTGTCATGGTTCTTTAATTCCACCATGTAGGCCCAGGGGTTCAAACTCAGGAACCTGTCATGCTTGTCAATAAGCATCGTTACTGCTGAGTCATGTCACTTAAAAAGTCATCATACCGTTATGAAAATATCTATGGAAAACACAGATATTTACATTATAATTCATAACAGTAGCAAAATTACAGAAATGAAAATAATTTTATGGGTGGGGGTCACCACAGGGTTAGGAACTGTATTAAGAAGGTTGAGAACCACTGGACTAGATAGTACCATCACCAGGTCTGTCAGCCAAGGAGCCAACTAGGAACCACGTAATGGCTGTGGGATAGAGAACACAAGAGATCTACTAGACTTAGAGCTGACATGACTTGGCAGCAGACCGGATGCAGTCAACCACAGGCTTCGAGTTAAAGGTGAGTTTCAGAACGCCAGGCTGGGTTACTAGACGATGTCATTTATTTCCTCAGAAAACATTTCCAGAGTAACCGCCATGTTCTCAGTGTTCATAGAGAGGTACAACAGCAGAACTAGCCACAGGAACTGGCTTAGTAGAGGTTTCTTACACCGTGAATTCAGTGTCTACTCCAGGAAAAGGAAGTAGAAACATCTGGTGATGAGTGGAGAAGCAGGGCCAAAGAGGGAGGAGGCCTCTGAACAGACAAGACTGAAGTTTCTAAATGTGTATGGAGCTATACAGTGAAACCAAATTGAGGAGAGAAAAAAAAAAAAAAAGCCTGAAAAAGCTAAGTATGAGTTAGGCCTGGTGGCACAGGCATGCTGTCACCAGAGCTACTGGATGCCAGGGTCTGTAAGTCACAAATTGAAGGCTTGCCTGGGATAGAACATAAGCTTAAGACCAACTCAAGAAACTTAGACCTTCCTTGTGTCAAAAAAAAAAAAAAATTAAAAAGGGTTCTAAATGGTGGTACAGAACCTGTCTAACATGCAAGAGAGCTCCTAGGTTCATGAAAATAAAGTATGGAATCCTTGGAAAACAGAAGATACAATAAAACAGAGGCCCAGTGGTGGCGCATGCCTTTAATCCCAGCACTTGGGAGGCATGGCAGGATGATCTCTGGAGTTCAAGGCCAGCCTGGTCTACAGAGCTAGTTCCAGGCCAGCCAGGGCTGTTACCCAGAGAAACCATGTCTCAAAAAACCAAACAAACAAAAAAAACCAAACAAACCAGAACAGGCAAACACCAGAACAGAGGGGAGGCAAAGGAGGTGAGGAAGAGGCAAGACCCTTGGGAGAGGAGGTGGCATAGTGACCAGGAGAGTGTGTGACCTCCCACAAGTGTGCACAGGTGGCCAAGGCCAACGTTCTGATTAAAGAGTAGAGGTCACCAAAGAGAGGGTGGGCACTGAGGAAGCCGAAGATCTAAGAAGAGTTCTGGGTGGAAGGAAGACAGGCCCAGATTAACCTGGGAGTTAGCTGGAGGGGCTGAGCATCTAACTCACAGTGAAGTCGGTCCATATGGAAAGGGAAAGGGGCCCTGGAATATTAATAGAGGATTAAACTGTATAAGGAACTTTCATATATAAGAATTTCTACTATAGTTTCCATTAACCTGTCTTCAAAATCACCAATGCCTGTCTTTTCTAATTGGTTAAACCTACTCCCTGAGATTCCAGATTTTTT